TTTTTGTCTTCTGTTTTATACTACTCTACAACAGGTTTTGCCGCCAGCAGCTCCGTCACAACTACTAGGTATCCTATTATAATCAAAATTTATCAAGTTTTATCAAATAAAACATTTTCAGTAAGTACATACTGCGATACATCCTACTTATAATCTACTGATATCTATTGAATGTATATAACTATTTGTTGAGTTAAAATTGTGATTTTGAAGAGGTACATACAGCAGAGTATGACATTCATGATCTCTATGAAAATGTCTATAAGAATTATTGGAAATATACAATTTTATATATAATATATTTAGAAACATGATTTTAAGTCTATAAAGATTTTGAGGTTATAATGATTTTAAGAATATAATAATTTTAAGATTATAAAGATTTTAAGAATATTTTTATCGTAATGAATTAAATGTTCTAAGTGTATTATCGTTTTTAAGAATATAAATATATTAAGATCATATATTTTCTAATAAACTATTAAAAATTAAAAAAGTTGACATGCCGATCTAATCTCTGACTTTGCAAGCGTTTTTTTACACGCAATAGCTGAGTGCTGCCATATAGTAAGTTATACTTCAATGAACTCTAATAATGTAGATTTTATTCCAGGTGTTCTTCAAAAGTGTTTATGGACACAACTCAAAGCCTTATGCATGGTCAAACATAAATTTTCCTCAATTCCTCTATTTAATTCATTACGATAAAAATATTCTTCAAATCTTTATAATCTTTAAACCATTATTTTCTTAAAATCGTTATAACCTCAATATCATAATAGACTCAAAATCATTATTTCATTACTAATAATAAATATGCTACTCTGAACAATATTAAAAAATTTGATCGACTTTTAATCACTCATCCAGTAAAAAAAAATCGTATTCATACAAAATTTTCCGTAAAAGACAAACAAGATAGTGTAACATACTAAGAAAGTCACGCCAAACACGATAAAAAAAATCCAGACCGATTTAACCCTTTTTGAATGAGTTAGAAAAATCAAATTTCGAAAAAAGTCGTGCTAATAAAGTTTATACTAGTTTCAAAATGATTTTCGTCGGAATAAGGTAAAGATAATCAGTGTTGTAAAGTTTTTGAGTAATAGTATTCAAATACTTTTTTCCGTATTGAATACTTTTTACTTTGAAGTATTTGAATGGTATTTGAAATACTTTTTTTTACTATTGAATACCTACTATTTTATTGAATACTTATTTTTTATTCTTTTAATTCTTAATTTGTTTCTACTTATAATTATTCTTGTTAAATAAAAACACACACAGACAATTTGTCGATTAAATGTTTTTGTACACGGACACCCAACTAAATTTTCTATTCAAGGAAACCAGAAAAAAGATGCAAAATATGGAGCGAATCGCTTAGTCCTCTTGCGGTATGAAACGCGGGACCAGCGCCTGCGGCTAACCCCCGCATTCAAGTTGAACCGTCTCACCAATTCTCTCCTTTTCGCTGGGACTAGAGTCCCATTGGATCGGACTATTTTTCTCAAGTCAGCTTAAAGAGTGTACCACTCCGTAGGACATTTACAGTCCCACGCCATCGGCCATTATTATTTTCAATCCTTAGCCAAGATTGGAGTGCCAGCAGTCCTATCGGATATGACTCGGACTTAGAAAATTTTTGACGAGAGAATTTCGGGATTGACAGTCCCGCCGTATGGGACTTTTTCAAGAGAACTTCGAGCTTGAAGCGAAAAATCACTCCTATCGGGCCCCCGTCTTCGGGCTTGACGTTTTCACTGCTGCCCGCGTCCGACGGTCATAAAATCTCCGGGATTCGCTAAATCACATTTTTTTTTTTCAAATTTAAATTTTTTATCGCGGATTCTCTTAATATTCGACGAGACAAAATCAAGCCCAAAGACGCGGAAACGATTGAACGAATCGTTCCTGTTCAATCTATCGTTTCTCCACTAGTGTCCCGTCCAATGGGTCTGCAAAGTGGAAACTGGTGATCGCGAGAAAAAATCAGTGCGTAGCGGTATGGTCGTCTACGGGGACATTCGCGACGTCAAATCGGGACTTGCCGGGTAATCAGTTGTGGTGCCCGCGTAAAAAAATTTGAGTAGCGCTGAAACATTATTTTTATTGCGTATTCCGATAATATCGGACGAAAGAAATTCAAGCCCCAAGACCCGGAGACGATTGAACGAATCGTTCCCGTTCAATCTATCACTTCTTTGCTCGTGTCCCTTCCAATGGGACATGGAGATTGCGATGTCTAACTTTTGAGATATCAGATGGATCACTTCAAAAATTTAACCCATAGGAGATCGTTATAAAAAAAAACTTAAATGGCGTCTTGGTGGAAAGTGCTTTGATCATGTTTTAAAAAGTTATTGACGAAACAAATAGTTGAAATTCGATCAAACGTTGTCCGAGGTGACGACGGCTGCGGTCCACAGACCACCCCCGTACATTCGATTAACAATCGTGATTGAACGAATCGTCTCCTATCGGGCCCCCGTCTTCGGGCTTGACGTTTTTACTACTGCCCGCGTCCGACGGTCATAAAATCTCCGGGATTCGCTAAATCACAATTTTTTTTTTTTCGGACGGATCATTTCAAAACTTCAACACATGATAGATCTCGACAAAAAAAAAAAAATTGCGTCTTGTGGGGAAGCGCTGAGATCATTATTTAAAAAGTTATTGGCGATACAAAAAGTTGATTCGGTGATCAGAGCTGTTCGGAAGGTCTCTGACCGCTGTCCATAGACCACCCCGGTACTTGGCTTTAGCGAGTCGTATTGTCAATTCTAATTTTCCCTTCCAGAATGTCCCATCGGATGGGTCTGATCTAGCGAAGACCTATATTGACCATAGCGATAGAGCCGACGGACCGACCGTCATTTTTTTCGGAGACAACTAATCGTCATTTAGTCCCATCGGATCGGATTTTTTTCAGAGAATTTCTGGCTTGAAGTTCAATAATTATCCTACCGCTCTCCCGTCTTCGGGCTTGAAGTGCTGCTCGAGTGCTGATTTCCACACCACCTTTGAGGTACAGCAATAAGCGCGTTTTTTATAGTGGTGTCCCCATGAGGCCTAATCCACTTTTTCACTGTCGTGATAATAATAACAATAATAATTATAATAACAATAATAATAATTTTATTTAGCAAAAACAATTTACATTCACACTAATAATGAAAATAAAAAATTATGGTAACAATGATTTTACTTTAATAAGTATCTTCTTTCGGTATTTTATGTTTTTTTAAGAAGTAACTAATTTTTCTCATTTTCGCCAGGTCAATTACGGCGTGTTCTGAATAGTTATTCTTCGTGTACTTTTCCTTTGTCATTTCCTCTGCCAGGATCTCTGCTCTTCGTATGTACACGGCACCATCGAATCTGTCTCCCAGTTTCTCCACGTAGAACAGATCGATTGTGGCTGACGGGTATTCTTCAAATGCCTGGCAGTCTCGGATCAAGGCCCGCCATTCTTCGGCGTCAAATTTTATGTATGGTTCCAGCGGGAACAGATCTTCAAAACTGAAAATGTAATTAGATTTTTAAAATTCAATTCGTACGTCCTGTTCCGCATATGCGGTTGCTTACTTTTTATCAACGTACGACTTGACCAACACCGTGTGGTCAACGGTTTCTATCTGTTGGTTCCGCCGGAGGGCTTCAGACGCGTCCGGCAGACGATAGTACTGTTTGGCTGTGCGGTCAGAGTGCTGTAAAGCCTCGGCGATTGCCCCAGACGTTACAGCATCGTGATCGCGGCCGGACGTCTCTACCATTTTACTAAAAACGGAAGCCGTTAATTTTTGTCCGAAAATCCTCGTCACGTCGTCGTAAATCTTCACAATTTTTTCGCCTCGGTTAGTGACGAAAAAGTTTGGCCGATCATAACCAGTACTTCTTCGGAGGTTGTAGTAACTGTGGATGGTATACAATTAAATGTTTAAAACGGTGATGTTTAATGTGGAAATGTCATTTAATAATTACCGGTCCAACCACTTCTCCATCTGCTCGTCGAAGACAAGGGTGGCCGGCTCCTTTTTCCCGGTCTTGTGGTGGGCGACCGTTACTACAATTTTATTATCTTGGTGGACCCGATTCTCCCACTCCCTCAGTGTCATGTTGACGGCCACACCGCTACGCTGTTTTGTCATCCACAGTATTTGTATGGCCAGAGCCGCCGTAGTCTTTCTCCACAACCCCGATATCTGGAAAATCAAACGGTTAGAAACGATGTAAATCGAGCGTTGAGTTCAGACACACTTACCTTCTTCTCTGCTGGACCGCTGTTCTTTTCACTGCGAACGGTGATGGTCCCATCCGTCGCAGTGAACGTGCGTTCCAGCGCACCCAGGTTGCTCTCGATGCCTTCCCGGATGACTGAAAGGCATCGAACCACGTCATCGTATTCAGGCAACTGTTTCACCTGCTCCGCCATCCGAATAAATAATTCGGCCGGCTGTTGTTTGGTCTTTTTCCTGTACACGAGGTTCAGCTTTTGGTCCAAGAGCTTTATCTTCGTGATGGTGGCCATGCATGGTGATAGATCAAAGCCCTTTGGAAATGATGAATCCTAGTAGACGTACGAGTGGATGACGTGGTTGAATAGCAACCTGATGTTTTTGAGATAATTTATGCTGGTTGCCTTCGTCTGCCCCAACGACTCCCGTCTGACGAACAAAACAAAGTCGTCATTAACTATAATTCATATTACACTAATTTAGATAACTAATTACTTGTCGAAGTACTCCATATATGGCATGACATCTGTGGACACCAAGTCTGACCAGTGCCTTGGCGGAAATCCGCTGTCCACCAGATGCTGGTGTACATAGTTCAACACGCGTAAGACGTTGGCCACGTAGTTATCAGCTGCCATGGAACCATCACCGTGGCTCATTTTGAGCGTGTTCCCAAAAAACACGATCAGTGGGTGGTTCCGCGGTAGCTGATGGTTGAGGCCCATATCTTGAGCCAACCTTCTCACGGTTCTGTAACAAAAATCAAGCGATATAAACACTGCATGTCGGACCGGAATCCTTGAATTTAATCCTCAATGAACAAACCGAATGAAGACCTTTGGTGGGGCTAGGCTCGGGTGGGACGGCGGTGGTGGACGGTTTTTCGGCTCTGGCCGGAGCGAGTGGTGTCTTCGGGACCGGTGGTGTGATTCCGGTTGCCGATACTGGAGGCTGCGGCTGTGGAACCGGTGGGGGTAAACAACGCGTGTACCGGTCTGCAACGTCGTCGACGTTTAAAATGTAGGCCCGGAAGGGATTCGTGGTAACGGGGACTCCGGGGAGGTCCCAAGATCCTCCGTACACCTTCATCCTTCCCATGACGGTGAGCCTGCAACGGAAACAAAGGTAAATTAAACGAAGTCCTAGCGAATATTTTAATTTTACACAACGTACTGGTGGGCGGTGGCCCTGTATGAGCGGTCGTCCCAAAAGGCTCCCGGCGTCCGTTTGATAACCGACATTGGGATGACCGAGTACGACTTTCTTGACTCAGACGTAATGAAGGCACAAATATGTTTGATGTTAACCTTCCTGGGTTTCCGTATCTTGTCTGAGTGTTTGTTGGCGATATGGCGACTCAGCTTGTTACTGGTTGTCATGAACTCACATAGTGGACAGTATTTCACCATCTAAAAACCGCGAACACGAAAGATTAAAAAACCGTAAGTACGTGAATCGTCGTGAAAAACTTACCAGAGTGTCCTTGTTCATCGCCAAAGTCTCGGCGCAGGTCCGACGCCTTGGTCTGATGTCTTCGTCGTCATTGTCGGTTACGTCCTTCCAGTCAACGTCGTTGCCTCTAAGTGGAGACGACAAGCCAATTTGTTCGGACGGCACGGGTGACGACTGCAACCCCGAGTCTGACCAGTGCCTTGGCGGAAATCCGCTGTCCACCAGATGCTGGTGTACATAGTTCAACACGCGTAAGACGTTGGCCACGTAGTTATCAGCTGCCATGGAACCATCACCGTGGCTCATTTTGAGCGTGTTCCCAAAAAACACGATCAGTGGGTGGTTCCGCGGTAGCTGATGGTTGAGGCCCATATCTTGAGCCAACCTTCTCACGGTTCTGTAACAAAAATCAAGCGATATAAACACTGCATGTCGGACCGGAATCCTTGAATTTAATCCTCAATGAACAAACCGAATGAAGACCTTTGGTGGGGCTAGGCTCGGGTGGGACGGCGGTGGTGGACGGTTTTTCGGCTCTGGCCGGAGCGAGTGGTGTCTTCGGGACCGGTGGTGTGATTCCGGTTGCCGATACTGGAGGCTGCGGCTGTGGAACCGGTGGGGGTAAACAACGCGTGTACCGGTCTGCAACGTCGTCGACGTTTAAAATGTAGGCCCGGAAGGGATTCGTGGTAACGGGGACTCCGGGGAGGTCCCAAGATCCTCCGTACACCTTCATCCTTCCCATGACGGTGAGCCTGCAACGGAAACAAAGGTAAATTAAACGAAGTCCTAGCGAATATTTTAATTTTACACAACGTACTGGTGGGCGGTGGCCCTGTATGAGCGGTCGTCCCAAAAGGCTCCCGGCGTCCGTTTGATAACCGACATTGGGATGACCGAGTACGACTTTCTTGACTCAGACGTAATGAAGGCACAAATATGTTTGATGTTAACCTTCCTGGGTTTCCGTATCTTGTCTGAGTGTTTGTTGGCGATATGGCGACTCAGCTTGTTACTGGTTGTCATGAACTCACATAGTGGACAGTATTTCACCATCTAAAAACCGCGAACACGAAAGATTAAAAAACCGTAAGTACGTGAATCGTCGTGAAAAACTTACCAGAGTGTCCTTGTTCATCGCCAAAGTCTCGGCGCAGGTCCGACGCCTTGGTCTGATGTCTTCGTCGTCATTGTCGGTTACGTCCTTCCAGTCAACGTCGTTGCCTCTAAGTGGAGACGACAAGCCAATTTGTTCGGACGGCACGGGTGACGACTGCAACCCCGAGGGCCCGGCTACGGGCAACGACTGCAACCCCGAGGGCCCGGCTACGGTCGACGACTGAAACCCCGAGGGCCCGGCTACGGGCGACGACTGCAACCCTGAGGGACAGGCTACGGGTGGTGTCAACACGGGCTGCTGTGGTCTGATGTGTAAATTTTCTTCTGTACCGTTGTCTTCGGTAAATTTGTACGGGTCCGGGGATGGCGACGGTGTAAAAACAGCTTCAACTGTCAAACGATCGAGACCTGGAAATCAATATCAAAATTTACTTGCAGTCAACAATAAAAATTATATTTATAATAACTCACGGCCAGGGGAAGAGACGCTGACTAAAAGGGCGTCGTTGCCGTCAACAATCAGCGGTTCAAATACGGGAGACTTGGAAGGGACGAAGCTTTCCGCAAAACTATTGTTCCTGCTCTCTTCAGATGCTGGAATTGAAACAGAATTGAATATTATCACAAAAACATCAAATATGACAAACCTCAATTAATATAATACTCACGGTTGTACGGGTGCGAGCGATTAGGGTGCCTTTGTACTTCGATAATCCTTTCCATCAACTTTAACTTCCTAGGGTTTCGCATCGAGTTGTCTACTGTAAAGGAACGGGATTAATTTTACTAAAATCATAGACAAACAAAAACTAGAAATATCAATTGCACAACATTAACTTACTCTTAGAAGTGATCGCCTCGTCGATTTTGACCTTCACTGGCGGTTCACCTTCATCACTCGACGACGACGAAGGCTCGATCAAACGCAGCTTAGGTTCATCTTTGTCAATTTTTGACTCAATCACGGCCACCTTCGGTGATTCGTCGTCTGTGGATGAAGAAGTAGACATGGATGCTGTAGGGGCCGAGTAGGCGACTGGACGAGAGTACAGGAATGGCTTTATTTCCACTACTGGAGCATTGGTTTGCGGGCGTGGGAAGAACTTCAGTGGCAAGCTCACCTTAAGGGAAAGTGGTTCACCAACGGTTGTTGGATTGTCTGAAATACAAATGATCGAAAGTAAGGAATAGGTAAATTTAATGTATTAAGTGATATATTATTATAATTTCCATGGGTGGTTGTAGAGCTCGGTGCTGAGAAGGCCGGCGGTACAGGGTAGTCTAATGCGTTCGCAGCGTCCTGTTTGTGGAGAGCCAGAGCTTTCCGAAGCGTCATCTTAGCAACTTTGGTCTCTATCACCGCTCTTCCAATAGACATGCCATCCAGCACTAGTCTCACGGCTCTCGAGAGTTCAAGGTTGTCAACTCTTTTCGTGTAGCTTCGTTTAGCTCTTTTAGGCACTATCTTTTCACGAATCAGGTGCTGACGAAATGTAGTTTCTGGAATACCATATCGACGTGCTGCTTCGTTCAGGGTGAAGATGCCCTCCTTCACGGCAAATGTCGCTTTGTCCATTCTACAAAAAAAAGAACACAATTATAGGAACGACATAGAAAATAAAACACTTGAAGACAAAGGAGAAAAATTTGAAGATAAAATGTCGACAATATAATGAGATATCCGCTACATGCGAACGACATACTCGTTGGAGTCCTTCAGTCGGCAAATAAAATACTTACATTATAATATGACAGCTAGGGACGTTCCGATATTATCGATATAAGTAAAGTATCGATATTTTTCTTTCGATACGAGTACTTTTTTTATCGATATAATTGTTTCAATACTATATTCATATCGATAACAAATTACTAGTATCGAATCATTTTTTTGTTATCTCTGATCAGTTTTCATTATCAGTTATCACTTATCAATATGAGATGACAATAATTAAATTATATTGACTGATAGTGTTATAGACGTTATAAATTAAATTTAAATTTAAATTAATAATTATAAATTATAATGGCGCCACCAAAAAGTGATGTTTGGATTTATTTCAAAAAATTGGATAAAGAATATGCGATGTGCAAAGATTGCCTTAAAAATGTTGCGCATAGTGGCAACACATCAAATTTAAGGAAACACATGATGACCAGACATCCAAATTTATTAAAAAACACTAATCCGACAACATCTCAAAAAAAAACAGTCAAAATTGGCATCTTCAAAGAAGTAAGTCGTTTTTTTTAAAAATAATTTTTACTTTTAAATTGTGAAAGTTTAAAGTAGGTATTTTAATTATGTATTCATCCTAATACAAACTAATAATATTTCTACAGTAACAAATGGTCATCTGAGCCCGCCCCGTCTACATCCATTGGAAGTCCAAAGGCTCTTACATTTTCATTAGAAGATTCTGAACCAGAAGTACTTATCTAATTATTAAAAATGAATAACAATTAACATTAGCTATTAGATTTCATGTGTGAATTAATGTATACTGATTTTATGTTATAGGAACCTAACCTGTCATTGACAGCATACTATTAACTGATCGACGATCGACAACAAAAGTACAGAAATGTGTACGGTGATGGGGTGTAACAGCGACGTTGAATGGCAGTGAGCAGTGTGATAGCGTAATGGTGTTCCGTGAATGGCAGTGAGCAGTGTGGCAGCATAATGGTGTTCCGTGAATGGCAGTGAGCAATGTGGCAGCGTAATGGTGTTCCGTGAATGGCAGAAAAACAAATGTCAACGATCCGTGTGTGGCACTCGTATTTATGCATTGGGCGGAATTCTTACCGACCAATCACAGAGCGCTCTACAAATGCACCTCCGTGGGCTTGGGGTTTGGACAGATTTTAATAATTGTGACATGGATTGAAAGCTTGAGAGCTGATCCATTCAGTGAACATGACAGCGAACGGATTTGACGGATGAAACACCGTCAAAAAGTAAAGTGAAAAGTTGGACCAATCGCTGTGCTCCGTTTGAAACGGGAAGTTCCCAGGCAATAATCTCATTAAATAATGGATAAAACAAAAAATTTCACTGAACTTTTTTTCTTAGTTGGATTATTTCACTTTAGGACCGTCAGAAAATTTCATAAAATCCAAAAAAAAAAGTTGAGCTTGATGAGCTTTTAGGGAGTAACGATTTGAAAAAAAAAAATATTTTAGATTAAATTGGATAATCGAATGCACGTATTTTCACCTGATCTGTGGATGTATTGAACATGAAAATCAGATGAATTTCCAATGAGCAACAGACGAAAACTTAAGATAGAGCATAAGCGCGAGGGGTCAGACCTCCGTCCGCCGTCATCCGTCGTTTACGGCAAACGTATTCATCAACTTTTCTAAGCGGGAAATGAAAAAATCGAAAAAATGTATACTTACTTAAACATTTATTTTTCAAATGCCTAAAGTAATACATAATTTTTTCCTCGAAAATCGTGAAAATGAGAGAGCGTCACAGAGCGTATGTCGGCGTGACACCGGGAAAATTCTCAAGCACTATAGTGCGACCAATCCACGGGTGGGGAAAATCTTCACGAATCCGAATATGTATACTAAGTTAAAATCTGAAGATTTCCCGAGTAAAAACAAACAATGTGTTTGGCCGCCGCATCAATCAGAAAGGACGGGAAACGGCACTAAATTTACAGTGCGGTGGTTGTCACCTGCCCCCTAAACGAATCAGATTAGACGTTTTAAAACTACACCGTTATTACGAAGGATCCTATAGAATGAACTCGGTTGAACTCGCCATGCAAATCAATTTTCGTCCATTCCGGAGCCAGTATTTGAAGCCAGGGAATATATATATACCGGTGAATCGCATCGAAACATCAACAGTATTCCATCAGCCATCAAACGACGAACACGTGTCTGCCTGCAATAGTAGCCATACAAGCCATCAAGCCTGCATTATCATGGAAAATGTTTTGCTCCCTGTTGAACATGGTGTTTATATCACTGAAAGAAGCCGCTCGCCACTACTGCTTTTCTGAGACTACGCTTCGCCAAGCAGTTGCAAGAAGAAATGGGCGTAAAACAATGCGAGTACGAACTAGTGATGGGTACTTTCAATTCATTTTAGTGAATCAATTCAAGTGATTCAGTTCATTAAAATGAATCGATTCACTGAATCAATTAAATGATTCAGTGATTCAATGACTTCTACGACTCACTCTTACTCTGTAATTCTGTATCATATTATGTATGATTCATTAATGTGTAAATGTGTTAAAATGTTATATTTATTTACATTGAAAATTCAAACTTCAAAGCATAAAATGTTTATTATTTTGTGGTTTTTTGCCTTTAATTATATTTAATAGTTATTATACCAATATTGATTATTTATTTATTTTTTTACTATTTATAAAATCATAAAACCAAACAAGAGTATGATTTGTTGAGTACTAAAATGAGATTGAAGACAGAATTTCTTTTTGTAAATTTATTTGAAAAATATACAATACCAGTTTTGCAACAATTATTTATATTTTTCATTTACTGAATTATTATAGTTACTACTATAGTACCAGAGTACTATAATATAATATAGTTCCATATTATTTTAAACCCTAATTATGTCATATATTCTCTGGTCTTATCTTAATAGCATGATGCAATGACAATAGATGCACCCAAAGGCCACAATAGATAGTAGATACCTACAATATATCTTACTGAAACTAAATTATATGTATTATTTTGAGTTCCCATTTTCTAAATTTGAAATATAAATTCATTATACAAGGTGTATAAATGTGTCAAACTTCTAGAGATGTTTCTACACCTCAATTGGAACAAATAAAGTCCTTATGACCATAGTCGAACTATCAATAATAAAGGTGATAATTTCCATGTTTGGGTTTTTTTGGTTAAACGCAAGTTTGATTCATAATAATGTTTATATAATTATTTTATAAGGCAGAAGGACTTTTTTTGTTCCATCTAAGGTGTAGAAACACCTATAGAAGTTTGACACATTTATCGTGCAACACCTTGTATAATGAATTTATATTTCAAATTGGGAAAATGGGAACTCATATAATACATATATTACTGATATATAACTAATAATATAAAATATTATCTCATGAGAAGGTATTTCCCTATCCCAGTGTTGAGATAAATTGATGAAAAATGAACTGTAAACTGGTTTTAATAGTATGAACTATGAGAGTGTTAAAAGTGATCTAAGTTGATGAGTAGTGTCTACATTGTCTACAAGTCTATACTTTTTTGTTGTTTATTATTTTTTGTACTTAATTTTTAATAATGAGTAATAGATCGAAATATAGTGTAGTATGGGATTATTTTATTCGATTGGATGACAATCAAGCAAAATGTGGTAAATGTCAAACTATATTAAAAGTTAATCGTTCATCTTCTACAAATTTAATTCGACATATGAGAACAAGACATCCAACAATTGATTTAGCTCCTCGTCGTAGAGCAGTTTGTGTTCCTGATGAATTAGTAGCCAATCCCGATGATCGTGTACCAGATCCTTCACCATCAATTATTCAGGCAAGTACTTCAGCTCTTCCAGTTCCACCAGCTCCTCCAGTACGTCCACAGCAATTGGCAATTTCAAATTACTTTTCATGGCCTGTAAGTGCAACAAAGAGACAGTTATTAGATGAGCAGTTGATAAAAGTAATCGTTAAAGAGTACCAACCATTTTCTTTAGTAGAAGATGTAGAGTTCAGAAAATTCGTAAATGTATTAAACCCAAGTTATGCTTTACCTTCAAGGAAAACTGTTTCCTCGTTGTTAACTATAAAGTATAATCAGATTTATGATGAAATAAAGGCTAATTTAAATAGGAATGTAGAGTTTGTTTCACTTACGACAGATACATGGACGTCATTGAAGAATGAAAGTTATATGGCCGTAACTGTACATTTTATAGATGAAAACTGTGAGTTAAATTCTCATTTACTTTCATGTTAAAAGTTTTCAGAAAAACATACTAGCGAGAATCTCAAATCTTCACTTCTCGAGATCACTGAAAATTGGGGTATTCGTAAAAAGATCGTAGCGTGTACATCAGATAATGCAGCCAATATTTCTTTAGCGGTGCGTTTATGTCAGTTGGGAGCAACATTTTTGTTTTGCTCATAATTTGAATTTAATAGTACAATCATCATTAAATGAAATTAATGAAACAAGAGAAAAGGTAAAATCAATAGTGGAATTCTTTAAAAGAAGTACGAATGCATCTGAGAGTTTAAATAAGATTCAAGAGCAATTAGGTTTTACTCCAACGCTGATGCTTATCCAAGACGTCATTACTCGGCGGAACTCTACTTTTGATATGTTCCAAAAATTTGTTCACCTTAAGACACCAATAATATCCGCATTGTCCAATTCAAGAATTGACTTTGAACGATTTTACCCTTACACAGTCTTGTGATATATTGGAACGGTTTAAGGAAATAACCACAGATCTGAGTAGTGAAAAAAGTGTACCAATTTCTAAAGTAATTTTGTACAGTCAAGCATTGATAACATATAGTACACAATTACCAACAAAAGATCTAACTCCACAAGTAAATAATATGGTCAATAAATTAAAATTGGAAATAAATAAATGATTTGGAAATTATCTCCAGTATGAGTCGAATCCACTGTTGTCAGAGGCTACATTTTTAGACCATCGGTTCAAAAAATATGGCTTTCAGAATGAACAGTCTTTTAAAAAAGTTAAGGAGATTATAGTAAACAAAGGTAAACTGATAGTCACAAAGTTAAGATCTGCCATAGACCAAAATGTAAGTGTTCCTGCTGTTTTAAACAATATTGGAAAAGAAAATTCAATTTGGCAAGAATTTGATGCAGGAGTTGAAAATGTCGTACAGTCTCTAAATCCAACAGCAACAATAATTGTAGAAGTTGATAAGTATCCTCAAGAGCCTCCAATCCCTAGAACACAAGATCCTTTAAAATGGTGGAATAACAATAGGCAAATATATCCTACACTTTTTATAATGATGAAAAAGCGATTGTGTATTCAAGCTACATCAGTACCAAGTGAAAGAGTTTTCTCTAAAAGTGGACAAATTGTATCGACAAAACGTAGTAGGTTGTTAAGTAAAAAGGTCGAACAAATTGTTTTTTTAAATTATAATTTAAAATAGGTCTACTATATTATTTAATAATTTAATAAATGACTAATGAATCACTATTCAGTACTCACTATTTTTATAATGCCGATAATGTGTCGTTTGTGTTATAGTTATGATTTTTTTTCATTTTTGACGTTTGTATTTTGTGTTTTTGTATTTTGTGTAAACCGTAAAATAATGTAAAATTGTAAAAGAAAGTGATTCGTGAATTAGAATTAGTAAAATTTATAAGTATGTAAGTATGATCAAAATAAAATAATTAATAATGTATATTGTATAACGTGGTATAATAATAATATATTATTTACTTAAAACTTAGAAGTGTAAACATTAATCAATGAGTATTAAATTCTTTTAAAAGATAGTAGATTCACTCTTGATTCCATAGCTTGATTCATTCCCTGATTCGGCTGATTCACTCTCAAAAGCGCAAATTACAGTGTTGCCACTAGTGAATCGACTCTTTCGTAGATACCGAATCAATTCATTCGATTCACCTCGGTGAATCAATTCAGTGAACTGATTCATTCGTGAATTACACACCACTACTACGAACCAGCGAGAGAGATTTAGCTGCGAACAAACGTAGAAGAATAATGGACGCAAACAAAGAAAATTTTTCCCTCCTGTCATCAGTCATACAAGATACAAACCATTCATACTCAGTCAACAAATGGCTTTGATTTATTAATCAATGGTTTCACCATCCAACATAAAACGGTCCTTTTCAGAACCACTAACAACTAAAAATGTTACAAAGCATACACAATACACCATAATAAACAGTAGTTAATAAAACGAAAATAAAACACTTGAAAAATTGCAATAAAAAAATTAAAAAAACGCTTTATGGGTGTAACAGGGGTGCTTAACAAGAATAAAACGCTTAAAAAGTAAAAAAGGACGCTTTAGTGTGGGGAGGGCGTATGTCACTGGCCGGGTAAGTATGCCACGTAATACACGTATTTGTTAAAAAACTAACTAAAAACGACAAAAAACGCTAAAAAAACCATTTAAAAACGTATCAATACTTAAAAAGGGTAGGGCTACAAGAATATGACGATGAAATGGTCGAATATTTATAAAAACAGGGTGAGCATAATCGTTTAGTCCGAGCGCGTACAGCACTGTTTTATCAGCGCGTGTAATAATCAACTAACTAAGAAATTGTTGAAAAAAATAATTAAAAAACATATTCCTACTGAAGAAGGTGTGGGCCACAAGAATATGACGTTAAAAAAACGCTATACGGCTGTAATATTGAATAATAAAACGCTTGCGTGCGCTGAGTGGGCTCGGTGCATGGACGCGTACGTTACACGCACGCGTAGCGTGTATGGCTCCCCCGTTTGGCCACCGCATCAATCAGACATGACAGGATACGTCGCTAAATTGACCGTGCGGTGATTGTCACCTGCCCCCTAAACGAATTAGATTAGACGTTTTAAAACCACACCGTTATTACGATGGATCCTATACAATGGTCGGTTGGACTGGCCAAGCTAATTAATTTTCGTCCATTCCGGAGCCAGGATTTGGTGCCAAGGAATATATATATACCGGTGATATGCATCAAAACCTCAACAGTAATCAATCAGCCATCAAACGACGAACACATGTCTGCCTGCAATAGAAGCCATACAAGCCATCAAGCCTGCATTATCATGGAAAAAGCTTGCTCGCTGTTGAACATGGTGTTTATACACTGAAAGAAGCCGCTCGCTACTACTGCTTTTCCGAGATTACGCTTCGACAAGCAGTTGCAAGAAGAAATGGGAGTAAAACAATGCGAGTACGAACCATGGAGAGAGATTTAGCTGCGAACAAACGTAGAAGAATAATGGACGCAAACAAAGAAAATTTGTCCCTCCTGTTATCAGTCAAACCAGTGAGAACAGACGAACAACTAGCCATGGATGATGCCAGGGAACAGAACAGAATCAAACACTTATCAATAATTGAGTGGGTAACAGAGGTGAATGCAGTTGTGTTTCCAGACGCACCAAGCCTTGTACAACAAGATACGAACCAACCATACTCCGTCAACAAATGGCTTTGAATTATTAAACAATGGTTTCACCATCCAACATAAAACGGTCCTTTTCAGGACCACCAACAACTGAAAACGGCACAAAGCATACACAAGACACTATAATAAACAGTAGTCAAAACGTAGTAGTAGTAACTTAGTAGTTAATCAACTAACTAAGAAATAGTTAAAAAAAAAATAATTAAAAAACATATTCCTACTGAAGAAGGGGTGGGCCACAAGAATATGACGTTAAAAAAACGCTATACGGCTGTAATATTGAATAATAAAACGCTTGCGTGCGCTGAGTGGGCTCGGTGCATGCACGCGTACGTTACACGCACGCGTAGCGTGTATGGCTCAGCCGTTTGGCCACCGCATCAATCAGACATGACAGGATACGTCGCTAAATTGACAGTGCGGTGATTGTCACCTGCCCCCTAAACGAATTAGATTAGACGTTTTAAAACCACACCGTTATTACGATGGATCCTATACAATGGTCGGTTGGACTGGCCAAGCTAATTAATTTTCGTCCATTCCGGAGCCAGGATTTGGTGCCAAGGAATATATATATACCGGTGATATGCATCAAAACCTCAACAGTAATCAATCAGCCATCAAACGACGAACACATGTCTGCCTGCAATAGAAGCCATACAAGCCATCAAGCCTGCATTATCATGGAAAAAGCTTGCTCGCTGTTGAACATGGTGTTTATACACTGAAAGAAGCCGCTCGCTACTACTGCTTTTCCGAGATTACGCTTCGACAAGCAGTTGCAAGAAGAAATGGGAGTAAAACAATGCGAGTACGAACCATGGAGAGAGATTTAGCTGCGAACAAACGTAGAAGAATAATGGACGCAAACAAAGAAAATTTGTCCCTCCTGTTATCAGTCAAACCAGTGAGAACAGACGAACAACTAGCCATGGATGATGCCAGGGAACAGAACAGAATCAAACACTTATCAATAATTGAGTGGGTAACAGAGGTGAATGCAGTTGTGTTTCCAGACGCACCAAGCCTTGTACAACAAGATACGAACCAACCATACTCCGTCAACAAATGGCTTTGAATTATTAAACAATGGTTTCACCATCCAACATAAAACGGTCCTTTTCAGGACCACCAACAACTGAAAACGGCACAAAGCATACACAAGACACTATAATAAACAGTAGTCAAAACGTAGTAGTAGTAACTTAGTAGTTAATCAACTAACTAAGAAATAGTTAAAAAAAAAATAATTAAAAAACATATTCCTACTGAAGAAGGGGTGGGCCACAAGAATATGACGTTAAAAAAACGCTATACGGCTGTAATATTGAATAATAAAACGCTTGCGTGCGCTGAGTGGGCTCGGTGCATGCACGCGTACGTTACACGCACGCGTAGCGTGTATGGCTCAGCCGTTTGGCCACCGCATCAATCAGACATGACAGGATACGTCGCTAAATTGACAGTGCGGTGATTGTCACCTGCCCCCTAAACGAATTAGATTAGACGTTTTAAAACCACACCGTTATTACGATGGATCCTATACAATGGTCGGTTGGACTGGCCAAGCTAATTAATTTTCGTCCATTCCGGAGCCAGGATTTGGTGCCAAGGAATATATATATACCGGTGATATGCATCAAAACCTCAACAGTAATCAATCAGCCATCAAACGACGAACACATGTCTGCCTGCAATAGAAGCCATACAAGCCATCAAGCCTGCATTATCATGGAAAAAGCTTGCTCGCTGTTGAACATGGTGTTTATACACTGAAAGAAGCCGCTCGCTACTACTGCTTTTCCGAGATTACGCTTCGACAAGCAGTTGCAAGAAGAAATGGGAGTAAAACAATGCGAGTACGAACCATGGAGAGAGATTTAGCTGCGAACAAACGTAGAAGAATAATGGACGCAAACAAAGAAAATTTGTCCCTCCTGTTATCAGTCAAACCAGTGAGAACAGACGAACAACTAGCCATGGATGATGCCAGGGAACAGAACAGAATCAAACACTTATCAATAATTGAGTGGGTAACAGAGGTGAATGCAGTTATGTTTCCAGACGCACCAAGCCTTGTACAACAAGATACGAACCAACCATACTCCGTCAACAAATGGCTTTGAATTATTAAACAATGGTTTCACCATCCAACATAAAACGGTCCTTTTCAGGACCACCAACAACTGAAAACGGCACAAAGCATACACAAGACACTATAATAAACAGTAGTCAAAACGTAGTAGTAGTAACTTAGTAGTTAATCAACTAACTAAGAAATAGTTAAAAAAAAAATAATTAAAAAACATATTCCTACTGAAGAAGGTGTGGGCCACAAGAATATGACGTTAAGAAAACGCTATACGGCTGTAATATTGAATAATAAAACGCTTGCGTGCGCTGAGTGGGCTCGGTGCATGCACGCGTACGTTACACGCACGCGTAGCGTGTATGGCTCAGCCGTTTGGCCACCGCATCAATCAGACATGACAGGATACGTCGCTAAATTGACCGTGCGGTGATTGTCACCTGCCCCCTAAACGAATTAGATTAGACGTTTTAAAACCACACCGTTATTACGATGGATCCTATACAATGGTCGGTTGGACTGGCCAAGCTAATTAATTTTCGTCCATTCCGGAGCCAGGATTTGGTGCCAAGGAATATATATATACCGGTGATATGCATCAAAACCTCAACAGTATTCAATCAGCCATCAAACGACGAACACATGTCTGCCTGCAATAGAAGCCATACAAGCCATCAAGCCTGCATTATCATGGAAAAAGCTTGCTCGCTGTTGAACATAGTGTTTATACACTGAAAGAAGCCGCTCGCTACTACTGCTTTTCCGAGATTACGCTTCGACAAGCAGTTGCAAGAAGAAATAGGAGTAAAACAATGCGAGTACGAACCATGGAGAGAGATTTAGCTGCGAACAAACGTAGAAGAATAATGGACGCAAACAAAGAAAATTTGTCCCTCCTGTTATCAGTCAAACCAGTGAGAACAGACGAACAACTAGCCATGGATGATGCCAGGGAACAGAACAGAATCAAACACTTATCAATAATTGAGTGGGTAACAGAGGTGAATGCAGTTGTGTTTCCAGACGCACCAAGCCTTGTACAACAAGATACGAACCAACCATACTCCGTCAACAAATGGCTTTGAATTATTAAACAATGGTTTCACCATCCAACATAAAACGGTCCTTTTCAGGACCACCAACAACTGAAAACGGCACAAAGCATACACAAGACACTATAATAAACAGTAGTTAAAACGTAGTAGTAGTAACTTAGTAGTTAATCAACTAACTAAGAAATAGTTAAAAAAAAAATAATTAAAAAACATATTCCTACTGAAGAAGGCGTGGGCCACAAGAATATGACGTTAAAAAAACGCTATACGGCTGTAATATTGAATAATAAAACGCTTGCGTGCGCTGAGTGGGCTCGGTGCATGGACGCGTACGTTACACGCACGCGTAGCGTGTATGGCTCCCCCGTTTGGCCACCGCATCAATCAGACATGACAGGATACGTCGCTAAATTGACCGTGCGGTGATTGTCACCTGCCCCCTAAACGAATTAGATTAGACGTTTTAAAACCACACCGTTATTACGATGGATCCTATACAATGGTCGGTTGGACTGGCCAAGCTAATTAATTTTCGTCCATTCCGGAGCCAGGATTTGGTGCCAAGGAATATATATATACCGGTGATATGCATCAAAACCTCAACAGTAATCAATCAGCCATCAAACGACGAACACATGTCTGCCTGCAATAGAAGCCATACAAGCCTGCATTATCATGGAAAAAGCTTGCTCGCTGTTGAACATGGTGTTTATACACTGAAAGAAGCCCCTCGCTACTACTGCTTTTCCGAGATTACACTTCGACAAGCAGTTGCAAGAAGAAATGGGAGTAAAACAATGCGAGTACGAACCATGGAGAGAGATTTAGCTGCGAACAAACGTAGAAGAATAATGGACGCAAACAAAGAAAATTTGTCCCTCCTGTTATCAGTCAAACCAGTGAGAACAGACGAACAACTAGCCATGGATGATGCCAGGGAACAGAACAGAATCAAACACTTATCAATAATTGAGTGGGTAACAGAGGTGAATGCAGTTGTGTTTCCAGACGCACCAAGCCTTGTACAACAAGATACGAACCAACCATACTCCGTCAACAAATGGCTTTGAATTATTAAACAATGGTTTCACCATCCAACATAAAACGGTCCTTTTCAGGACCACCAACAACTGAAAACGGCACAAAGCATACACAAGACACTAAAATAAACAGTAGTTAAAACGTAGTAGTAGTAACTTAGTAGTTAATCAACTAACTAAGAAATAGTTAAAAAAAAAATAATTAAAAAACATATTCCTACTGAAGAAGGCGTGGGCCACAAGAATATGACGTTAAAAAAACGCTATACGGCTGTAATATTGAATAATAAAACGCTTGCGTGCGCTGAGTGGGCTCGGTGCATGGACGCGTACGTTACACGCACGCGTAGCGTGTATGGCTCCCCCGTTTGGCCACCGCATCAATCAGACATGACAGGATACGTCGCTAAATTGACCGTGCGGTGATTGTCACCTGCCCCCTAAACGAATTAGATTAGACGTTTTAAAACCACACCGTTATTACGATGGATCCTATACAATGGTCGGTTGGACTGGCCAAGCTAATTAATTTTCGTCCATTCCGGAGCCAGGATTTGGTGCCAAGGAATATATATATACCGGTGATATGCATCAAAACCTCAACAGTAATCAATCAGCCATCAAACGACGAACACATGTCTGCCTGCAGTAGAAGCCATACAAGCCATCAAGCCTGCATTATCATGGAAAAAGCTTGCTCGCTGTTGAACATGGTGTTTATACACTGAAAGAAGCCGCTCGCTACTACTGCTTTTCCGAGATTACGCTTCGACAAGCAGTTGCAAGAAGAAATGGGAGTAAAACAATGCGAGTACGAACCATGGAGAGAGATTTAGCTGCGAACAAACGTAGAAGAATAATGGACGCAAACAAAGAAAATTTGTCCCTCCTGTTATCAGTCAAACCAGTGAGAACAGACGAACAACTAGCCATGGATGATGCCAGGGAACAGAACAGAATCAAACACTTATCAATAATTGAGTGGGTAACAGAGGTGAATGCAGTTATATTTCCAGACGCACCAAGTCTTGTACAACAAGATACGAACCAACCATACTCCGTCAACAAATGGCTTTGAATTATTAAACAATGGTTTCACCATCCAACACAAAACGGTCCTTTTCAGGACCACCAACAACTGAAAACGGCACAAAGCATACACAAGACACTATAATAAACAGTAGTTAATAAAACAGAAATAATACACTTGAAAAAAAGCTATAAAAAAATTTAAAAAACGCTATATGGTTGTAAAATGGGTGCTTATAAAGTTTTATCTGTTTTGCCAAAAAGTGTAAAAATTTAATACAAGGCTCCTGATATATTGTTACAATATCAGTTGAAAAATATTAATAGACATAGTTACGTTTTATAATTAAGTTTCTATACATTTTTATGCTAAGTACTATAGTTTTTTAATAATTTTGAAAAACAATTAAACTACCCTCTTTTGCCATTTTTCAACCCTAAATCCGCACCAGAAGGGGTCGAGTAATGTGTTCCAAATTTTACCCAAATCAATTTCTAATGTGACTTAATAAATCTAGCTGGTACGGACCAAGTATAATTAATCTTAAAAAATAAGGACCACCCTACTATACATGTTCAGATTCGTGAAGATTTTCCCCACCCGTGGATTGGTCGCACCATAGTGCCTGAGAGTTTTCGCGGTGTCACGCCGACATACGCTCTGTGACGCTCGCTCCTTTTCACGACTTTCGAGGAAAAAATTATGTATTACTTTGGGCTTTTGAAAAATAAGTGTTTTATTAAGTATACATATTTTCTTCGATTTTTTCATTTCCCGCTTAGAAAAGTTGATAAATGCGTTTGCCGTACACGACGTATGACGGCGGACGGAGGTCTGACCCCTCACGCTTATGCTCTATCTTAAGTTTTCGTCTGTTGCTCATTGGGAATTCATCTGATTTTCATGTTCAATACATTGACAGATCAGGTGAAAATACGCGCATTCGATTATCCAATTTAATCTAAAATATTCTTTTTCTTTCAAATCGTGACTCCCTAAAAGCTCATCAAGCTCAACTTTTTTTTTGGATTTTATGAAAGTTTCTGACGGTCCGAAAGTGAAATAAGCCAACTAAGAAAAAAAGTTAGGTGAAATTTTTTGTTTTATCCATTAATTAATGAGATAATTGCCTGGGAACTTCCCGTTTCAAACGGAGCACAGCGATTGGTCCAACTTTTCACTTTACTTTTTGACGGTGTTTCATCCGTCAAATCCGTTCGCTGCCATGTTCACTGGATGGATCAGCTTTCAATCCATGTCACAATTATTAAAATCTGTCCAAACCCCAATCCCACAGAGGTGCATTTGTAGAGCGCTCTGTGATTGGTCGGTAAGAATTCCGCCTAATGCATAAATACGAGTGCCGCACACTATTATCCAGCCAACAGCCAGCCTGTGAACACTTCTCTTGACCAACACTGAATCCAGCATTCTCAACAGTTCCTTCAACAGGGCAACAGCGCCCACGGGTCAAACCCCGACCGTCAACCGTCAACTGCCGGTTCACTCCGTATCCAACAGGACATTAGCGTCCACAAAAGCCGCCATGGAAGCGTCAGCTACACCAACAGCCGTTTTCAGCGCTCTCCAACAGGGCACCAGCGCCCACAAGTAAGCCGCCGCGAAAGCGTCGGATCAAACAGTCCTTCCGAACTCGCTGTTGTGGGGCCGCGCCCCCAAATTGCCACGGCATCCCACCCCATCCCAACCAACTACCCCCCACATACCTCCACAAAAACGCTCTTTTCAGAGCGACAGTAAAAGCACAAGCTTCTCTTCCGCCATGGGCCGCAACAGGCCGCTTAAGCGTAAGGGAAGTGGACCCCCTCAAAACACCCAAATCCGGAAAATTGCACGCCAGCGTTCGGCCCCTCCATCACCCTCGCCACACTCGTCTGACTCAGAAACCCTCGAGTCCTACTCAGACTGTAGCGCGTCAACGATGTCTAGCGCGTCCCCATCTCCCTCCACAATAAAACAAACTTCAAACTCCGTACCTAAACCAACCATAACCTCCGTACCTAATTCAAACCAAACTTCTGTCTCAAACCAAACAATTAGCTCCGTACAAAACCAAACAACCTCCGCACTAAAGCATACCACCTCCACAATTAAACAACCTACTTCCGCACCAAACTCACCACAAACTCCGACTAAACCTACATCCGCCAGACCACCACCAATCATGCTAAGCTCCGGCTCCTGGCGGAAGATCGCTCCCGTGATCTACGCTCTCCCAAACCTTGCCCCTAAATCTCTAACCGCCAAATCGTCCTCCAACAACCAAGTCACCATCCAAACTTCTGATTCGTCCCAATTCCGTCTGATCCAAAGCACGCTAATGTCCAAAGGAACTGAATTCCACACATTTTCGCTCCCTGAAGAACGTTCCCTCAAAGTCTTTCTGAAGGGCATCCCAAACGATATCCCTGTCGAAGAAGTCCAAGGGGAGCTGGAAACCCTTGGTTTCTCCGTAAAATTCATCCGCCGTTTCGGCACCCCGGAAAAACCGATGCCAATGTGTGTTGTACACATCGCATCAAATACAAATTCCAAAGAAATTTTTCTGCTAAACAATCTTTTCTACATACAAATATCCGTCGAACCCCTCAAATCCACTACCCCTGCCCAATGTTTTTCGTGCCAACGCTTCGGCCACGGCTCACGCAACTGCGGTCACCCACCAAGATGTGTGAAATGTGAAGGAAACCACTCGGCAAGCGACTGCCAAAAAACCCGCGAACAGGCCCCAAAATGTTGCAACTGCGGCGGATCACATACCGCAAATTTCCGTGGCCGCCCCCATTTACTGGCTCAAAACCAACCAAAACCACAAACTCTGGCCCAAACCATCCCAAAACCAAACAAAACCCTACCCATTCAAAAAACACCACCTCCCCCACCTGCACCTAGGCCCACCCTGTCCTACGCTACTGCAACTGCCGGAGCGGCTCCCCCTCCCCCACTCCCCAAGACCCACAAATCGATCTGTCCCTGATTCTAAACCTCTTGACCAACCTACTGACTGCCCTGGCAACCAACCAGGACCCCAAAACAATGATAGAAACGACCATAAAAGCATTCCTGACAATTCTCTCGCCTCCCAATGAATAATTTAAAAATCTTGTTTTGGAACTCCAACGGTATTATACACAAACTTAATGAACTAACAGCTCTCGCACTCCAACTAAAAACCGACATAATCTTACTTAACGAAACTCGTCTATCTCCCTCCACCAATCTTCACATCCCAAATTACTTCACGTACAGGAACGACCTACCGACCATCCGGGGCTCGCCCCCTCACGGCGGCACGGCCGTCCTCATTCACCGTCGCATCGTCCACCAACCTATGACTCTTAACACAACCATTCAAACCTCTTCAGTCCTTATCAAACTTAACAACCATGAAATACTTGTATCAGCGGTATACAAACCACCTGGCGCCACTCTCTCGACACTTGACTTAGACTTACTTACCCAAAGCGCGGAATGGCAAATATCGGCAGGCGATTTCAACGCCAAACACCCCTTGTGGTACAGCCACTCGACAAACGCAGCAATGATGTGGCAAATAAGTAAACAGCAATATCTTTACGCAAAGAACACTGACGCTCGATCCCTGGACGAAAACATAATTTTTATGTATTTTCATGTGTCATAATTAAATAAATAAATATTTGCCACATCATTGCAAAGGAAATTATGTAATATAGGGACAGTGATGAATTTCTCGCACTTGGCACTTACGCTCTACCCTAAAGTGTTTACATTTTTTTTCACGTTTTCCTCATATCAGGTGTCCCTGTCTACTGTACTTAACTCTGTATAACATTTCATTTGATCTTACCATGTTATATTTTATCATTTATCTTATCTCTAATTATTTTTGCAGGTGAATATGAATCAACGTGGATTAGTAATGGAGGAAAATGCCAGAATGCTTTGCGTCATGGATTATATGTGCCTTACGAACGACGTTGATCCAAAATTAGGATTCAAAACGCATAAATCGGGATTAGGTCCAGAAGCCATTGTATCGCCAAGGTACGAGAATACATTTTTATCGCTGAAGGAAGCATACTCTAAGGCAATGGGGAAGGACTCAAGAATTGCATTAGAAATATGCAACAGATATCCTAATGACGACGGGTGTGGCGTCAAAATCACTGCCTGGAAGGTTATTTGGAATAACCAAATAATCAATGAACTCTACGGTAGAATGGCTCCCGTAAATGAAGATTTTTTTCGGTAAACATAATGTAAAGGATTTTTCAGTTGTCATAAGTAATACAAAAAATGATATTAAATTATTGCTTGGCCCGGTCTCGCTTGTAAATCATGACTGTGAGTCGAACACTGACTTCTTTCCCTTAGGACCAAAATCAACAACCATTAGAGCTAACCGAAAAATAAGCATCGGAGAAGAAATTACAACTTATTACGGCTCTTCATATTTTGGTTATAATAACAGCGAATGTATGTGAATTTCGTGTGAAAAGAAAAAGGATGGTCATTTCAAATAGCAAAATGCCCCGTACAAAGTGATACAGATTCGAACGTGGAAGAACGTGATAATTTACTGACATATGCTATTTGTGGCTCATATTTTTTGTACAAGAGTTGGCTGAAAAGACATATTACATCTCATATGGACCCATCGGTGAGTTGTGATCGTTGCAATAAAGTTTTCAAAAGAGGTGACTCCTTAAAAAGACACATAAAATCGATGCACGAAACAGTTTCTTACACCTGTAAAACCTGTTCAAAGTCTTTTAACACAACTTCCAATTTGAAACGGCATGAAAATACCCAACATAGTAGCAAGACCAAAATGACTTGTGAAAAATGCGGGAAAACATTTACAAATAAGCAGAATTTATCTTATCACGATAATATAAAACATACAGGGGTCAAACCGAATAAATGTGACACATGCAATGAAGAGTTTGGATCACCATGCTACCTGAAAATACATGTGAATAAGGAGCATTGATAATGGAAGACTGTGGATAAGGCCTCGTGGGGACACCTCATAAAAAAAAAATGTAGATGTGGGAACGTCAGTGGAATGACCTTACGGGGGAACAACGTAAAAAAAATGTCGACGTGGAAACGTCAGTGGATTAGGCCTACAGGGGAACCACTATAAAAAAAACGAACTGTAGCTGATACCCCTTGGGTAGTGTGGAAACTCGGCTGGTTTGTTAATCACGATGGGACGTCACCGTGGGACATTCATACCGCTAGGCATCAAATTTTATTTTCCACGTATACCATAAAGCAGGGCGATTCCATCAGTTCAAGTGAACGTTTTCACATAAGTTGTATGATAGCAAAAGAAGCCCCGGGGACCACGGTCGGCCCGGGCCGCGTCGGACTCGGCGCCCGTCGTCGGTTGCAGGCAGTCCTTCCGGGGACGTGTTACTACTACGACGGTCGCCGTCCGGGTGCGTACGGTAGGTCGACCCTGGGTCCGCCCCCCGTGTGTCGACCCGAAGCTCGGTGCGTGTCCGCGGTAATGTGAAAACGTCCGATTAAACTGAAGAATTCGCCGTGTACAATTTTTTTTGCTGTACCACTACGCGTGCATATGATCGTCGCATATTGTGAAACTCGAGATTGTCTAACTTCGGAGGTAATGGTTTTCGTTACCCAGCCCACTGTACTACAGAGGTTTGCGAGTTGCAACGGGCGAAATCGAAGCGTGATGCTGGTGCTGATGAACTGTTGATTGACATTTTTTTAAATCTTTAATCAGAAAATTGCATTTTGTCGATACATAATTTAACCATTTACATTTGGTTAGGTTACCGCTTCGACCACCTTGCCCCTCCCCCCGTGAGAATTCTCTCGCGGGGAATTTTTTTTAAATTCCGTATCAACGTACCACTACGCGGTGACATGGTTTTTTTTTTCAAGTCCGTGTCGCCGTACCACTATGCACGGAAAGGCGTCCGTCGGTCAGTGGAACGCCCCGGTGATTGTTTTCGGAAGTCCGTCTTTCGACCTGGCCGGCGATCTGCGCGGCGGACGCCTTTTTTTTCCCAAGTCCGGGTCACCGTACCACTACGCGGCGACATAGGTTTATTCTTCGGGACACCATGCGGGGCCGACGAGCCCGACGAACTGACTGCCGTCCCTCGGGCGCGGTCCGTCATTATTTTTTTTTTGAAAGTCCGTTTCGCCATACCAATAAGTATGGTATATAATTTTTTATACGTTTAAAAATTGTGCGTAGTGGTACGGTTTAATCCGGGGAGACGACATGCCGTCGAGCGAGAATTACCGGGTAGACGTCAGCAGCGACCGCGTAAAATATATTGTGCGTAACGGTACGGTTTCCTCCGGGGAGACGACCCGCCGTGAAGCGAGTGTTGCCGGGTAGACGTCAGCGGCGACCGCGTAAGAAAAATTGTGCATTGTGTAACCCGAAGAGACTACGGCTTTGCGAAATTTTAAAATATTTTCATTCATTTTTTATTTCAAAATATTTTTTTTTCACCTACACGGTAGACACGGCCTAGCGGGTGGACTAGCATGCTCAAAAAATCGGCAGAAAAGTCCGGCCGGGAGGTTAGGTTAGGTTACGTTGGGTAAAGCGCCTAAATACCACCTCTACATTTTCGACGCTCTTTCATATGACGTAAACATAGTTGATGTGAATTTTAAAGTGTCATGAATAAAGAAATAATTATTTGCCACATCATTGCAAAATAATTTATAAAAGATACTGACAGTGACTATATTATAGTTACGGTACTATAATTTTACTCACCCAAATAGCGTTCTTATTACCTTTTTTAAGTTAATTATTCATTATCACCCCCTTTCCGACCATATAGCGTTTTTTTAAATTTTTTTATTGCGTTTTTTCAAGTGTTTTATTTTCGTTTTTTTTTTAAGCCGCTGTAATACAGCGCGCTGTTCCACCCCTCGGCCATTCCGCTAATATGCTCCCCCACAAGACGGCGTTTACGATTGTTTTGTCAAGTTCATTCACGAGTTCAATTTTCTGAACGCCCCGACCACTAGATCAAAAGTTAGACATCGCAATACTGCAGTCCCATCGGATAGGACATGACTGGAGAAGTAATAGATTTAACTGGAAAAATTGGTTTGATCCTCTCGGGGTGTTCGGGCTTGAATTTCCCTTGTCAAGTACTTTCAGAATAGTGATAAAAAAATTAAAAATCAAAAAAAAAAATCGTGATTTACCGCTACGCGGGGACTTGTAATATTTTCTGCCGTGATTGACAGTCCCATCCGATAGGATTATTTAGTGGTGAACGGAGGAATTGACGGGTGATATCGTAAACGAAAGTACGGGAGTAGTGTACAGTAGGCATCCTGAGTCCTCTCGTATAAGAGTTGCACACACTCCAACTATCTGTACCCTCAGTAACTTTTTAATAATGATCACAGCGCTTCCCTACAGGAAGGCGTTTATGTTTATTTTGCCAAGATCTATCAGGTATTAAAATATTGAAACGATCTGTTAAATATCTTAAAAGTTAGATATCGCAATCACGCTGTCCCATTGAATGGGACACAAGTGGAGAAGTGATAGATTGAACGGGATGGATTGGTTCAATCGCCTCCGTGTCTTGGGGCTTGAGTTTCTCTCGTCAAACTGTATCGGAATACTCGTTAAAATTAATAAAATTGAAAAAAAAAAATTCGTGATTTCGCATTGCCAGGAGAACGCGGGCAGAAGTGAAAACGTCAAGCCCGAAGACGGGGACACGATAGGTGTGATATTTCGCTTCAAGCTCGACATTCTCTTGAAACAGTCCCACCCGATGTGACTGTAAATCCCGTAATTCTCTCCGAATATATCGACGGTGAAATGTCAAGACTGGTTTTCTCTGGATTAGTCCCATTCAATAGGACACTCAATCAGGAATTCTCTCGGAAAATAATTCAGGGTCCGAGTCCCATTCAATAGGACTGTCAATCCGAAATTCTTTCGATAAAATATTACAAGTCCCCGCGTAGCAGTACACCAGCTTTCAATCCGTAATTCTCTCGAGTAGATGCGTAGCGGTATTGTCCGAGGAGAGAATTCTCTCGTCCGAGATTTTTCTCTGTAATGGAGAAAAATTGGCTTGACTTGACACAGTCCCACAGAATCGGACTATAGTCCGATTCCCAGAGGACCTACGTCACAGGCCTTCACTTAAGTACGTGGAAACACAATCCGGTAAAAGATTTTTCTCTTCGGGTTTGGTCTTTAATTCTCTTCTCTGACCCACCCAGAGAATTCCCAACGATTAAAATAATTATTAAAAAAAAATGCTTGGAGCAGTCCTATGCCATCGGACTAGAGTCCCACAGTGCGGGACCGGTTCAACCTACTAGTATTTACGCCATACTTTTATCAATTGTACTTTTATTGATAATAGTTTTAGACTCGATATCGATTGCAGCTGTTGTGGCTTATATATTTTCTTAAATTGTTTCAGAAAACCACCAGTTCAAAAACCATTTTAAAAAGATGCATTTCCGTATGTTAGTCGCATTCGTCATTAGTATGTAACATTTATTTTTTAATTTAACAATTGGACTTAATTTATTGTAATTGTCGAGCTGTCTTAGTATACTAATACTCTAAAAGATGCCAGCATTAAGTTGTTAGTGAACCAGTTTGCGACACTCGTCGCTACGCTCCTCGGCGCCATCGCTCCGCTCTGCAAATCAAAAATATCCCCCGATTTGGTGTGTAAAACCACCTCAGGTGAACCTCCGTTTCCCTCCAAAATTCCCGGAAACTTACCGTTCAAAAGTTATGGAAGTTTCAAGTTACAGTGATTACGCGTGTATCGGCAATCGTCGCTGCGCTCCTCGGCGCCGTCGCTCCACTCAGCAAATTGAAAATATCCATCGACTTGCTATGCAACAACACATCAAGTAGTTCACAGGGTAATTAGTAATTACTAATTGTTGTATCAGTTTTCATAAAAGATAAAAACAATTAAAAAAAGTCCTCCGGTCGCCAAACTCGAGGTCCTCCGCGCGGCATTATAGTAGTGTTGCGCACACGCGTATAAACGTAAAATCGTTAACTTTGGGAAGCTATAACTTCCAAAATAATCATTTCCACAATTTTTTTTTTGCATCATCGTTCTTAACTCGTCAAAACAACCCTTAAAAAAAAAAAAAAATTCAAAAAAAAAAGGTGCCCGGTAAACTAGACTTATAACAATTTTTTTACGGTGGTGGTGGCAAAGGTGGGCGAAGTGGCGAAGGCGGGCGAGGTGGCAAAGGCGGGCAAGATGGTGACCGTTGCCGTGGGGGTGACCGCGGGCGGGGAGGTGCCAGCAGTGGCGCACCCTCGTCCAAAAAGTTTAGCGGAAGTAAGTATCAAATATAAGTAAATCATAAATAAAATATTGTTTATTAACTATATTTTTTTTTAGAATGTGACCTGTGCCACGTGAAGGGGCATAAAATCATAGAATGCCTAAAATTTAGTTAGTTTCAATTTTTCAACACTGCATTTAATATACGTTTTTTTAAAATTCCAAATTAATTAATTTTATGATATTTTAGTATCCATAATGGCCATTGCAGAAGCGGCCACTTCTCGGCCGGATGCGGTTGGTGGAGAGTCCGTGGCTGGTGATGAGGTTGTGGCCGGTGTTGAGTCGGTTGTCGGTGGCGGGTCGGGGCCCGGGGGACGGCAACTAAATAATTAAAAGTTGTCAAATAAACTCTTAAAAAAAAAATGTTCTATTGTTTTTATTTATTTTAGTACAAAACCAATTTCCTTAGTTATTAGAGCTTACCTAAAACAAAAAAGCAGTAAAATGTTTAAATAAAGTATAAGTTATTGGTTATAAATTATTAATGAATTAAATGTTCTAAGTGTATTATCGTTTTTATGATTTTGAAAATGGTTTACTAACAAAAAAATCAAAATATGTTAAACAAAATTTATTTAGAACTAAGAAACATGATATTTTTACTTTAGAACAAAACAAAAAAGCTTTAAGTGTTTATGATGATAAAAGATTTATTTTGGAAAATGGTATTGATACATTAGCTTGGGGACATTATAAAACAAATATAGATAGAAATGATTTTGTAAACCATCTCAATACATTAATTAGAAATCAAAATCAAAAAGATTAGAAAAATATTTTAGGAAATGTTGCATTTCGATTTTTATTTTTGATAGAACGATTCTATAAAAAAATATTTTAACCATTTTTGCATTTCGATTTTAATTATTAATAATTAGGTTTTGCGGAAAATATTTTTATTATTATTGCATTTCATAAGTTTTGCGAAAAATATTTTTATTATTATTGCATTTCAATTTTCTGATCATTTTGCACATTGTTTTCTTTGTGATCTTTTATTGATATAAAATGGAGGTGGTCCAGGAATGGTACATATATACTACTGATGTGTTATGGTGTTAAGGGATGTTTTTAAGGTTATCCTCAAGGTTATGGGATAATTTTTGATGGTTTTAGTTGATGTTCTTTCTTTTTGGTCACCATCACCTCACCATCCACGTGGCACTCCGCAGGTCCGCATCAAATTGTTATCGTTTTTTACTACACTACAACTTTCAATGATATATATTATACACTTTTATAAGATTACAAGCAAACATATATCATTGAAATAAAATTAACACTAACAATCATTTTACTCAATAACTATCACAATAAAATATGCAAAATAATTTTATTTTTTAGTTAACTATGGAAATACCAAACATAATTTTAGTAATTAAATCTATTTTGATTGCCTACATAAATTATGTATGTTTTTAACTGAATCGACTTCAGTTTTATGTAAAGTGAATAATTATGTTATAAATTGTTAATATAACGAATGTCATATGTAAATGTAACCCAAAACCTAATTATATTGATTAGTTATTTTATGATATATGTGATACTATAGATCCTGATATAATTTTCAATATTTTATATAGATCTGTCTATCTGCAATTTGCCTGCAATAGTTACACCTGCGATTTACCTGCGAGTACAAGAAAAAAAAAGAAAAACGGTTTTTTTAAGACCAACCATTTATATTTCTTGTTACTTTGTTTAATATTTTTTAAGTTTTTTTAAGTTTTTTTCAGCATAGGTACACCTCCATAATGGCGCTGAGGGATCACAATCACGTCATCCCAGCCAATCACGAAGAAGAAGAATAAGTTGGTGCTCCAAACATCTACCTGCAAGATCACACCTACGCCCAACAGTTGCCTGCAGTTCAGATTCAGGCCCAGCCGGAAGAAGATAGAGAAACATTAGAAGTTGGACCAGCAACTGATGAAGAAGAAGAATATAGAGCAGTAGAACAAGAAGAAGAAGAAGATGGGGCAGTAGAACTTAATATGGATGCAGAACCAAGAACATATAGAATAATCCCCGGAAATAGACTCAACTCAAAATTTTATGTGTACAATTTTGGATTCAAATATCATCGTAAGAAGTTACTGATCAATACGATAAATCTAATTCGTGAGCTACGAAAAAATCCCAGAGGTGATTTATGTGCCATGGTTCAGCATCAATCAGTATTAATGAGAGAGACAACCGGCTTCGTATTGTAACTGATCACAATCATGATCCAGAAGCAATTAACTTGGATGTTTCATTCTTGAGGAATGCACTTGGTGAAAGAGCTGTTGACCGCACAGTTACAACCCCATCAGTTCGCGGTCTTTATAATAGTGAAATAATTAAGTAAGTTAGTTAACTTAATTGTTGTGGTGAAATACATAAATGATGCAAAATATGTATTAATTTGTTATACTGTTTTAGACATCCTCAAGCTGCCATAAGCTATACATTATCCTCAAGCTGCCATAAGCTATACATTCCTTCAGACACAATTCGGAGCAAAAAGAATGAGACAATCAAGGCGCCCACAGTTGCCTCGGAACATCCATGAAATCTCAGAAATGCTGAGCGACCCCCGAAATGCAAATTACGCTTCTACATTCCAAATTCCTTCCTCAGCATTTTTCAATCAAGAATTGATTGTAAATGGAGTAAGTGTAGGTTTAATTTTTGCAAACATTTCTGCAATTGAAAAATACCGTCAAGAGTTGGCTACAGTAGAGATGGTTGGAATAAATGGTACATATAAGACAGTTCTTTCAGTGCCAGGGGACTTGCGATGTTTTCTGACATTTCAAGTACTCTACAGAAGCGTAGTAAGCAATTTATTATGTTGATATTCGTTATTACTTATTACTGTTGTCATAATGGTCTAATATACTGTTATTTACAATTAAGGCATTCCCAATGGTCTATGTCCTTTTGGGGAGTGAGACGGAAGAAACATACTCTGTGTTATTCACTGTCATACTCAATATTCTACCACTGAATTATGACAGAATCCGTTTTGTAACTGATTATGAGCGTGCTCTTATGAATGCTGTCCAACGAATATTTCCAAACAGTGAATTGCTCTGCTGCTGGTTCAGTTTTTCACAAGTAATATAAAACATTTCGTTATGATCATACCTGCCGGGTAAACCTAATAATAATTATTTAAAATTGATATGAATGTCACAAGAAGTTGTTCGATATTGTCACCGAAAAGTTAATGGTGTCTTGAATTTGGTGAATAGGCATGAAGTGGCAGCTCGTATTTTCAGAATGGTAATTTTGAGTTTTGTTTACAAGAAAACATTGTTGTTTTTCAATTGTATTTTATATTTCAGGTATTAGCATTGCCTCATCTACCGGCTGAAAGGGGTAATCCCGGGTTCCCAAATTTTTGTATGGAAGATAGGTTTCATACAATTGTCGCGTACACCTTACAATTTCCTGACATAAGTAGCGCTGTCACCTCTCCGGGTTTTACCCGGAGAATCCGGGTTTACGTATAAATCTACGGGCTCCGGGTTCAGTGAATTATTCTCCGGGTCAGAGATAAAGATGAGATAACATACGATTTTTTATTATTATGCCTTTTTTTTTTTATTGGTTTCCGGTATAAAAACCATTTATTCAAGATAACAAGAATAATACGATTATGAACTACGGTTTATGATTTTATGAGTCTACGATTACGATTTTACGAATCTGTTTCAACATCACAGTCGAGTGTGTTTGATCGAATCCGAATATCTGCTTTTAATTTTTGTGTCAGTGTAACCGTGCATCGATATTATAAAACTACACAGAATTTGAAAAGTAATTCATTAATGACCACATTTATGACTAAATGACCCTTTTTTTTTTTGCTTATCGGCCTGTCTCCGGTGCTTTCTTTCAAAGGTGGCAACCCTAGACATAAGTGAGGTTATGAGTCATATTCTGAGGGACTATGTATTTGATTATTGGTTTGTGTAAATTGGTCCACGGCGCTTAAGCGTTTGTAGTCAAGATCACCGGACCAACAATTACTTAGAATCTTTCCATTCAACCGTTGCTCACACAAATTGGACGCCACCTTAATATTTGGGATTTTCTTCCTTCTTAAGTCGTCATAGTTGCACTTGTCCATACTATGATCTCTATGTTGCATTATCCTATACACGTTTGTGTTATATGTTTGTGTTGTTAGGTACATGTTTAACATAAACAAAAGTGTAAGAACAATTCTTAAGAATAAAATTAGTAAAAATTTAATTTCTATAGCATATCATTTTAAGAAATTTATATTGAACGTTTTCTATATTTTTAATATGATTTGTATAACTTAGTGACCAGACAGAAGACTGACCCAAACACAAGTCTAGATCCAACCAAGAAAAAGTGTATAGTATACTTTATATTATATTATTATATTTAACCCTTTCAGGCTAAAGTGTAAAGAAAAAGACATATCCTGATCAAATAAAATACCTAAATCTTTATCAAAAGTAACTTGCTAATTTTAAATTATCAATATTACAGTTGAAAGTTATAGATTTTCTTTAGTGAGCAAAATACATATTACACTTATTGACATTCAGAGGTACGTAATTATCATGACTCCAATTGACTAGTTTGTCTAAATTCAACTGAAATTGTATTGCGCCAGAAGGAGATTCAGTTATTGAAAATTGTTGGTGTCATCAGCAAATAAAAATAAGTGAAGTGTGTTGTTCAAAATATGCAAATTATTAATAAGCAAAATAAACAAGAATGCTTGTGATCATTAGTGATAATTGCTAAATTATTATAGATAAAATATTTTGTGTTATCACAATGGGCCGTCAGCCAAATATTTGTCGGCATAATATAATGAGATTAGGAATACAGTCGGTATCAATCAAAAGTGCTTTAAAACACTTAATTAATTTAAATAACACAGATATAATACATTTTAAAAAAAAACATGCATACTATACAACAGAATAACTAATATAAATACCATTAAAAAAATCAATAATAGGAAGAAACATCAAGAATAAAAATACTTTAAACTTACAATTAATGAAAAAAAGAATGATTTTTATAAAAAATATAATAAATGAACTGGAAAAACAAAATTTTAATATTAACTCTTAAAATCTCACGGTATTCTATAACAACAAACTGAATTCATATAAAAATAATTTAAGCAATATAACAGAATACATCAAACAACAATCTTTTCCTAACAATATAATACAAACACAAAAAATTAATATAAACCTGATAACACCTCCACCAACTCCAGAACGCATAACGCAGATTGAAGACACCCCAAAACGCTTGGTCCAACCATGCCACAAATTTTACAAAAGGTAATGAACTATAGGTAATTATCTGGCACACCCAAGTCGTAGTTGATGTAATTTTATTGTTTTTCCAGGTCTATGCGAAGCGATGTTATGGGGATGCTGGGAAGGCTGGAGTTTTCTGAAGATAAAAAACTATAACATGTTACTTAAAGAAAATAAAAATAAACAATTATAGCATGTAACTTAAATTAATCATTTGTGTCATATTCATGTACTACAGATACTCTGAAATGCCTCCGTACACATTAGCCACTCTATAATAAAATATATAATACCTACTGATATGTAGAAATGTTATGTAGAAACATCTATCTTGTTGTAATATATATATATTCCCTAACACGTAATTTCCAAAATAATCATTTCCGCAAATTAATTTTTACACCATCGTTTTAAACTCGTCGAAATACATAGGTTTCCGACAAAAAAATCGAAAAATTCGAGTGGGCGCTAAACTAGAATTAGGCCAAGTAATTTATATATAACGTATTAACGTCCATTTATGTGGAACCTTATTTTAAATTTTAAATCATTAGCTATAAAAGTTGAACATTTTATACATTTTTAAATTTTAAATTTGATACCTACATTTTGTTAAGAAAATAACACATTTTGTTTGAACTTTAAATGCTAATAAAGAAAATTGTGCATATGTATTTTTAATATTTTTCAAATGTTATTGTAACAATATATTAGGAGCTTTTCATTAATTTTTTAAGCTTTTTGACTCAACAAATAAAATTTTATATTCGTTTATAGAAAAAAATAAATAAAAATATTGGAAACTGAATATGAACGTTATTAGCTGAAATCAATAAAAAATATTTTGAAAATTTATCATGTAGCCCATGTAGGTATAGACAATGTTAATATAAACATAAAGTGAACATTTCTACGGTACCTAATTTGTTTTAGAGTTACACCAAAAATCAAAATCGATTTAATTGAAAACCGATTTTGCTTATAATTCCTATTTTTACTTAATTTTTTAATTGTTTTTTTCTGGTGCTGTTGAAAATACAAATCATTGTAAAATCAATATAATCAAAAGTGGTCTGAGAAGTAACAGATAAACATATAAGTATACCTCATTGGTAAGTACATTATGTTCAAATTACTTTTGTAGGCATGACCATTAATATTTTTTTGTGAACGCAAAATGATGAACACAATATGCAGTTGTGGAGTATAAAATTATTTTTAATTTCTGTTTATGATTTATCAGCAAAAACCATCTGTGTACCATGATCCTTCATGTCTCAAACAACAATATTATACCGTGTTCCTATTTACCTACATTTTTATATTATGTAATGGGTTGTCGATCTTTTTTTCTAAATTCACATACCACCCTGCCTAAATATTTCATCGTCATATTACGTCATATGTGATTGGATAAAGTTTCAATTATGTTACAACAATTATAAAAATGTATGAAAATTGTTTATTAAAAAGTATTATTGGTAATATGCAAAATATAATTTTTTTTATGAGAGTTCCATATTAATAAAATCATTCAAAATGTATAATTAAACTTTGATTTTACAAAATGTAGGTATTAAAATATATTCAGTGTTTTTTAGTGATAAAATATCAGATATTAAATATTACAATTATTTTTATTATGATAAATTATGATAAATTATGGTTCACTATAAAATAAATAAATACTTATTTAATTAGGTTTTAAATTTGAATATTCAACGTGTGTCTTTCAAATACTTGTCTAACGTATTTTTCAAACGTTTGTTTTCTAGGCCTTGAAGATAAAAAAATACAAATGTGATGTATGCCGAAAACAGTTTAAGAGTATGCACCATCTTACAAGGCATAAAATAATTCACACTCGTCGAAAACATTTCAGATGTGATATTAATTGCTTAACAACGCACAGAGATTTGTCAAACCTCAAGTGCCACATGTTGTGTAGGCATTCAAACGATAGGCCTTTCATTTGTGTCATTGATGAGTGTCAAGAAAACCCCAAAAAATTAAAAAAACTTTCATACTTCATGATCCATTTTAAGGCACATTGTGAATATAGGTATAAATGTGACATGTGCAAAAATACCTATTCTACAAATGGCAATATAAATAGGCACAAAAAACATAAAAATAATGTTTTGCCAAAATATAACTAATAAAAATGCGTATAATTTTACTGAATTATTGTATCTTTGCAATTCATCTAATGTAGTTATAAACCCATTATTGGAGAATATTGACTGCTTAAACTTTGGAGACATTTCAAATTTATTGCCAGTTGAAAAAGTCTTTGTGGGTGCAGAATGTCAATCACTATTATATTTATAGTCAGCTGATAATATTAATGTATTCAAAGAATAGTGCCAAACGTTTGATATAACAGTAGGAGAAGAAATTATAAAATTTGATTATTTGAATAGTGGCAAGACGTTAATTTTTTGTAATAATATAATATTTTGCACAGTCACACGGTTTAAGTTTCATTCGGAGACCGGTGGTGTTCGCGCAAGTATTTTCCTATGATGTCATCATAATTTCTTAAAGTAATATAGTTAATTGTGTGTTATCACAATGGGCCGTCAGCCAAATATTTGTTGGCATAATATGATGAGATTCGGAATACAATCAGTATTAATCGATATAAGTTATAATATTTATTCTACATTGAATATATTATTAAAAATACTGTTCGCTCAAAATTATTTCCTCGCCCTAACGGGTGGTCTGTGTTCGGCGATTGGCGGTAGTATACTATAGCTGTAGGCTGTAGCAATGTAGTATGCATCTGTGCCGCCGTGCATACGATCACCACTAGCGCTCCGATGACACGGCGGCCTGCGTTGCTGCGACCTGGGGGTCTATTTTGTACGCCATACGAATATCGCTCTTACATACGATTGTTCGTACACATTTTTTT